GAGCAACAAGTAAGAACCCCTAAGTGCAGCACTGCTTGGGGAAGAAACTATCCGAGGTCCTCGCAGACTGCAGAGTGCCTGGGACGGCGCTGACACCCAAGGCGCCACCCCCGGCGCTCTCCGCGCGGAACTTCGCAGGAGTACGTTTGTGCCGTTCCAGGTTCCTGCCTGTGTCACTAGCTTGTGTGTATGATCATGACGCTCCAGCTTGAAAGTATGCTGTGTGCTGTGGTGTGTATCGTGCTGGCTTTGGTGAATGATCCATCTCCAGCGCGCGGAACGCGAGCTGGGGCGAGAGCCAAAGCCAAACCGACAGATCCCCACCAACCGTTAGTTCGGGCATGCCCCCCGACAGGCGGATCTTGGAGGAAAAATCAAAACTGGTCAAAAATGAAAAAGGATTGTTACAAATAATAAAACATTGCCCCAGACTCATGTTGACTGTTTTGGAATATTCCTCCTGTAAGAGGGGCAGGCCCGACTCAAACCTACCTCCAAAAATGTAGGCTGATGTCGTCCATCGGCCCTCTGCTTCAGGGACAGGCGGACGCCCGCAGATCTGGTGCCTTGTATTGCTTCAGCACGCCCCCCCCCCCCCCGAAGCCCACCCCTTCGAGCATCCAGAGGTCCGATGCCTGGACTTTTCCGACACGGACCCCCAGAAAGCTCCGACCCTCAGGGCCGAAGTTCTCGTCCCGATCCGTTCCCTCGACGGCTCTGGGGCCTGGCGAGGACACCCATAGGCCGAAAACGGAGCCACATGCTGCTTTTGGTCGACACGTTGGAAGTCTGGGCTCGAGGGAATGCCGCCCTCGGGACCAATCTTGGGGCGCGGTCGGACCATCATTTCTGCGGGTCGGCCGTGGCGACGAGAGCCCTCCTGGAGGCCCTGCTCGCCCTCTCTCCTCCAAAAAAACAAAACATCTAACCTTCGACGATGCTCAGACAGTGTGTTGCCACTAACGTTAGGCCGGGCAGGTCCCCCTACAGGGGGAACTTGGAAGAAAAATCAGAAATACCAACAACAAAATTAAGCATACTTCAAACCATGATCAGAACTCGTCCCCAGACTATCGTTTGACTACTTTGGGATATTCCTCCTGTAGAGGGACAGGCCCGACAGATCCCCATCTACCGTTAGTTCGGGCATGCCCCCCGGCAGGCGGATCTTCGAGGAAAAATCAAAAGTAGTCAAAAATGAAAGAGAATTTTTACAAATAATAAAAAATTGCCCCCAGACTCATGTTGACTATTTGGGGAAATTCCTCCTGCAGAGTGACAGGCCCGAATCACATCTTGGGGTGCGGTCGGACCATCATTTCTGCGGGTCCAGCCGTGGCGACGAGAGCCCTCCTGGAGGCCCTGCCCCCACAGCACAGCAGAAGCCAAAGCATCTGACATTCGAGGATGCTCAGACCGTGTGCTACAGTCATTGGCCCGACCCAAGGAACGATGAGTGAGGAACGATGCCCACTTCTCCCAGGCACGTTTACTGAAGGGGCCCTGGGACACACAAATAAATATACAAAAATAGCAGATTCCCCATATTTTCATATATTTTCTGGGTTTTTGTCTTCCCGCCCAATTCCCATATTTTCCTATATTTTCTTAGGAATCGACGATTACTTGTGTCTGTGTGTTTTCCCCTCCTGATTTACGAATTCCGAAGTAAGGGCCGGGCCCTTCACTAGCGCCAAAAAGCCAGCGGAGCGTGTGCAGACCTCAAGGACGACCGAGCCCCCTTTTGAAGAGGAAGTGTTCCTTATTCGAGCCGCTCGCTGTACCGCTGACGCTAAGTCGGGCGTGTCCCCCTACAGGGGGATTTTCGACGGAGAATTAAAACTACTCCAAAAATAATCAAAACATACTCCCAAAATAGTCTGGGGACTATTTGTTGCGTATTTGTTGACCTTTTGGGGGCATGTTTGGAGTATTTGCTTTTTTGTCGTCGAGAATCCCCCTGTAGGGGGACAGGCTCGACTGTACCGCTGACGTGTGCATGCGCACCGAGGACCTCCAGTGCGAGGCAGCGGCGCAGCTCACGAGGGCCACCGCTCGGGGGCGCGCAGACATGGATTCACGATCCACGGATTTTGAAGGGGCCCTGGGACACACAAATAAATACACACAAATAACAGGATTCCCAATATTTTTCCATATTGTTGGGATTTTTGTCTTCCCCCCCACTTCCCATATTTTCACATATTTTCTGAGGAATCGACGATTCATTGTGTCTGTGTTTCTTTTCTCCTCCTGACAAGCATGGATTCGCGATCCATGGATTTGGCGCGCGGTCGCCTAGTCCATGGAACGGGGGAAAAGCGCTCCCCAAAATGCGGCCGGTGCAGCCTCGCTCGACGGCGGCAGTCCGCGATTTCCAATGGAGGCGGGGCCCGTCGCTGATCCACGCCCCCTGATCCATGCTTGCGATCGCTGGAAGAACGGGGCCGCGTGCTATCCGCAGAGGCTACAGGGGGTAAACACACGTTGGGCTGACACGCGTCCTGAGGATCGTCGGAACATCTGCCAGGAGGAGGAGGAGGAGGAGGAGGAGGAGGAGGAGGAGGAGGAGGAGGAGGAGGAGGAGGGAGGAGGGAGGAGGAAGGCGGAGGAGGAGGAGGAGGAGGAGGTTGTGGCTCAACACGCTGGCGACCTGGGTGCGCGCCCCTCCGCGCGGCCGGAGGCGGCTCGGGCCGGGGGCCGCCGGGCGCGGCGCCGTAGGAGACGGCGGGGTGCTGCGCGGCGCCTCCGCGGGCGGCCCGCCACGGACGAGGGATGCGGCGGCGGTGATCTTTTGCTGTCCCCCCTCCTCGTGCACCCTCCCGAGGCAGCCTCTTCCTTCTCAGCCATCTTCCTCCGCCTTCCTCGCCCTCCATCCTCCAGCCTCTACTTCTCCGCCCCCCGCCTCCACTCATTTTCCTCATAAGCAACCTCCCCCAGACGCAAACCCGAGGCCAGCCAGTTCTCAGGGCGGACCGGGCGTTTCGCCTGAGATTTTCTCACCATTCGTGGCTCTGAGACTTACAAATTGGCAACCGTTTCACAGATGGAGGGCGGGTCGTTTTCAAAATGTGGCGGTCGCCCCAGCGCGGCTCACATTCGTTTTCACAGGTGGAGGGCGGGTCGTTTTCAAAATGTGGCTCTCGCCTTGGCACGGCGCACAGTCGTTTTAAAGACTTGCAAGAGTTTCACGGGTTGAGGGCGGCTCCTTTTCAAAATTTGGCTCTCGCCGTAGCGCCGCGCACATTCGTTCACATAATGTTCGAGGGTCTCACGGAATCCCATCATCGTCGTACCAGACATGGTGTTTGGAAGGATAAAGGGTTATGCAGGTGCAACAATTACGTTGGTTCTCTGTGCTGAAGTCCTAGGAATGGGATTTCTGGCACGATTCAGGATCGTCAAGACGCAACAATCAGGTTGGCCCGTGGCGTTGGAATCCCGAGAACAATAATTTGGCATGCTTCAAGGTCTTCAAACGGGTGTCTTCCAACGAGGCCCTTCCATCAATGGAAATGAACCGCTGTAGAGGCCCATGAAGAGGGAGCTTGGAGGGAGGGTTTACTCCAACATCGTTGATGACTCTCGGGTTTACATTGGTCCTCTTCCTCCTCCTGCTCCTCCTCCTCCTCATCATCATCATCATCATCACCAGCATCATTATCATCAGCATCATCATCATCATCATCATCATCATCATCACCATCATCATCATCATCAACATCAGCATCATCATCATCATCAGCAGCATCATCAGCATCATCATCATCATCATCATCATCATCATCATCATCATCATCATCATCATCATCAGCATCAGCATCAGCATCAGCATCATCATCATCATCATCATCATCATCATCATCATCATCATCATCCTGTTTCTCCTCCTCTTCCCTCTCCGCCTCCTCATCATGCGCCTCCTTCTCCTCCTCCTCCCAGAGGAGCGGGGCCATCTGCCCCCCACCCCCCCCACCCTGGTCATCCTCGCGTGCTCCTCTCCGGCGCTCCTCCTCCTCGTCCTCCTCCCTCCTCCTACCTCATCAGCGTCGTCCCTCTCGTTCACTCTCCCTCACCGTCCTCATCCCCTGCAGCTCGCCCTCGGAGCACGTTCTGACCACGACGTCAAGGCGAGTCCAGCCATAGCGACGAAGCGGCACCCAAAACACCGAAAACAGCGCGATCCCTCTTCCCTCCATCATCCCATCCACTTCCCTTCCCTTCCTTTTTCCAAATCCCCTACTCCTCTTCCTCCTCTCCCTCCTCTTCCTCCTCCCCGTCACCCTATCCTCCTCGCTATCATCATCATCATCATCATCATCATCATCATCATCATCATCATCATCATCATCATCATCATCAGCATCAGCATAATCATCATCAGCATCATCATCATCATCATCATCATCATCATCATCATCATCATCATCATCATCATCATCATCATCATTATCACCATCACCATCACCATCACAAGCATCAGCATCAGCATCAGCATCATCACAATCAGAATCAGCATCGTCATCAGCATCATCAGCATGATAATCCTCAGCGGCATTATGATCATCATAATCAGCAGCATTCCTCCCCCTCCTCTTCCTCCCCCTTTTTGACGCTGAGGTAACATCAGCCAAAGGCTGTGGCGTTCGTGAGCGAGGAAACAAAAAAGGAAGAAGGTGCTGATGCCCGACTCGGCGCAGAAAAGAAGACCCCCTCTCGGGCGCCGCAGGGCGTGCGGCCGGGCGGAGTGCCCAGGGCAGGCGCCCGCGAGGTGGTGCGAGAGGGGCAGCAGACGTGCCTCGGGAGGTGGCCCCACCCGCTGCACCCTGAGTAATGCGGGATGACGATTGAGAACAAAAAATGGGAGAGAACGATTAAGCAACTAATGTTCTGCTCTTTCTGCACAGTTCTCTGACTGGGGGAGAACGATTAAAAAAATAGTTTTCCAGCACGCGGCCGGTTTTTTTTCTAATCGTCATCCCGGGCGCCGCCGCGTGAAC